TTAGTGGATTTTGTCTGTTTTATTTATTACAATTGAAAAATGATTCTAAACCTTAGTTACACTTTAAAATTACTTGGGCAGCCCAGGTCATCCCCCACATATGCCAGAATAATAAAATCAGAATATCTGGTAGAGGGATGCTAGGTGTCAGTATTTCTTAAACTTTTATATTTATCATTAGTCTTTTGGTCACTTTTTTTTTAAAGATTCATTTTTATTTATGTATGCATACAAGAACTGGGGTGTAGGCCAGAGGTGTGGGAGAGGTGAGAGAATTCACCAGAGGCTGAATGGGGAGCAGAACAGGTGGATCTACTGAAATACACTGCTGAGGGGAGCTGCGCGCAAGACAGGAGAGATCTGCTGCCCCACATATGGGTTAGCTCCCTGGCTGTGGATAGAACTCTTGCTGCAGTAGCTGGCAGTAGTTTTGATAGCGCTGAGACTTTAACCTCTGCGCCACCAGGGAGGCCCACATTTTTTGTTTTTGAGTTTGAAGCAGTTCTATTTATTTGTAGTGATATTTGGCAGCTTTTATTTTCCAAATCTTAAAAACAAAAAGGAAACTTACTATGGGTTCACTGGACATGTGTAACATAAATTAAGTTATAGTAAGGAATCTTAGTAATGTTGCTTTTCCTATATCTTAAAGTATTTTTCTATTTAATTATCTTTGGAATTAGTCAAAAAGAAAAATGATGGGCCTCCCCTGGTGGAGCAGTGGGTTGAGTGCAGTGCTGTGAAGCTGTCCACAGCCTCTGCAGCGCGGGTTCAATTCCGGGGCTGGCCAGCGAGATCACCGCATGGCTTGGCAGACCTCTCCTGTCTCGCCCTGCTGCTCCCCTCAGCATCCTGTTTCAGTCAGTCTGCCTGTTCTGCTCCCCACTCTGTCTCTGGTGAATCCTTTCACCCTCCTGTGCCTCTGGCCTGTACCCCAACTCTTGTATAAATAAATAAATCTTTAAAAAAAAAGAAAAAGAAAAAGAAGAAAAATGATATTATTGTCTAGAAGGATAATTCAATGATGAAATAAATCAACATTGTTGCACCATCTTTTCAGCTTTAGTATTGGTTACCCAAAGTATTGCATCATTTTTCAAGATGATACAAAAGCTGTTTGGAGATGTCCTTAATTTTTTTGTTTGTTTTAAGCTTTCTTTAAATATATTTGAGAAATTAGGTTTTTTCATTTGCCATCTTTAATGGCAGAGACAAAGATTGGCAAGGGAAGACATTTCAGAACTGCTGGACAAGTCAGAATATGTGTACAAAGAAACAGCAACACTTAAAACTAATAATGGTGGTGAATCATGGGTGAAATCTCAGACTGATTCTTCAGATGAATTTTAGATGTTTTCTCAAACTCAATGAGTAAACAATATTTCAAAAATAAGATGAAAGTATTGTAGATTTATGCATCATAGTTATGAACAGGTAGTTGCATTCAAAGAATGTTATTTTTGATAATTTCAGTGCCAGAGAAATGTGGAATACAAAATTGTGTACAGCTGAGGTTGAGTATCACAGTTATAAGTAGATTTTGTCTGGATACAAAGATGGGGAGATGAGTAAAAACTTTTTTTGAGAAAGTTACATAATGAGAGATAGTCTAAACTAGACCTGCCAAATGCATTGGTACTGACACAAGAGTTAAAAAACAAATCAAGGGTCTCCCCGGTGGCGCAGCGGTTGAGCGCCGGGTTGCGAAGCTGCCCGCAGCCTCTGCAGCGCCGGTTCAATCCCCAGCTGCTCCCTGGCCACCGGAGGAGGGTCCCACATGGCGTGCAGACCTCTCCTGCCGCCCGCTGCTCCCCTCAGCAGTGTACTTTGGTCCTTCTGCCTGCTCTGCTCCCCACTCTGGCTCTGGTGAATTCTCTCACCCTCCCGTGCTTCTGTCTGTACCCCGTGCTTGTATAAATAAATAAAATTAAAAAAAAAAATCAATGGATTAAATCAGACAACTCAGAAGCAGATCTTAGAATACATAAATCATTACATTAGATTATTCCATTAGTGAATGTTACCACCTGTTGACTACTTGATGGGACATTTTTATAATTATCTCATTTAATCCTCTTCCTGACATATTAGCATTATTCCCATTTACAAGTGAGGAGACCTGAAGTAACAAAATATTTGGTGTTTCAGGAGCAATTAGTTAGATCTTTTAGAATGCAAATATTTCAAAAAAATTTTGACCTATGCCAGAATAAGTTGCAGGTAAAAGAATTAAATGGAAAATTCATGTTATAAAAGGTAATAAATAGGTCCATATGGTATCCAAATAAGAGAAGCTTATGAATAATTAAAAAAAAAAACACAAAGAAAAGATCTGTAAGTTGAACTAAGAAATTGTCCATGTCAAATACTATAAATAAAAGTATAGAATAATATGCTAGAAATAGCAAAGAAATAAATGGGTTGGGGCCTCCCCGGTGGTGCAGGGGGTTGAGTCGCAGCACTATGAAGCTAGTCGTAGTCACTGTAGCACGAGTTCGATCCCCAGACAGGAAGGTGACCCACATGGTGCAGCAAACCTCTCCTGTCTTGCCCGCTGCTCCCCTCAGCAGTGTATTACAGTGGATCTGGCTGTTCTGTTCCTTACTCTCTCCGGTGATTCCTCTCACCCCTGACACCTCTGGCCTGCACCCCAGCTCTTGTTTGCATAAATAAACAAATCTTTATTAAAAAAATAAAAAGGAAATGGGTTAGTAGCCTTTATGTGTATAACATTCATACAGATTAGGGCCTCCCCTGGTGGCACAGGTGGTTGAGCGCAACGCTGTGAAGCTGTCCATAGCCTCTGCAGCACGGGTTCGATCCCGGCTTCGATCCCGGCTGGCTGGTGAGAATCCCGTAGGGTGGGGCAGACCGCTCCTGCCTCTCCCACTGCTCCCCTCAGCAGTGTATTTCAGTCAGTCTGCCTGTTCTGTTCTCTACTCTGTCTCTGGTGAGTCCTCTTACCCTCCCGCACATCTGGCCTGTACCCCGTTTCTTGTATGCATGAATAAATAAATCTTAAAAAAAAAAAAAACCCCAACATTCATACAGATTAATAACCCCTAAATATGAGTTTAGAAATACAGGTGATTAATAAACACATTAGAAAATGCTTGGCTTACTAAGTATGTGAAATAAAACTTTAAAAGTACTATTCTTTCCTGTCTTAGAATCTTTGCCCCATAGTATTAGTTCCTTTGCATTGCTGACTCCTCATCTTTTAAAGCCCATTGTACATATCACCCACCATAGCTTTTTTGAGCCACTCAATGAGTTTTTCCTTTATTTTCTCACACTGCCAGTATCCATCATTGCACTTCACCTTTTGGAATCACCTTATTTGTTTAGTGTCTGTCTTTCTTGTTCACTAAAGCTCCAAGCTCTGAAAAGAATAATACACAGCATCTAGAAACTATTCAACAATTAGTTGTGGAATGAGTAAATAGAATTAATGAAAGAGAAGTGAACAAAACACTTTTAAAATCTATCCTGTTTGCTGAACATTTTAAAGAAAAGTGCTATGTATGTGAGGTAAGATGGGGTGGGTCCACTCATTGTGCTGCTTCGTAAGATGGTGTGTTTTTCAGAATGGAGATTTTATGGAAGGTAGCAAGAACCTTCAATTCAATTTGTGTCTTTTGTCCCAGTAATTTTACTTGTTGTAATCTGCCCTAAGGAAGACGTCGTTGCCTGAAGATAGGGAAAATTTCTTCTTGGCTCTTCCTGTATTCACTGGTATTCTTAAAAAAAGTAGACCACTTAGACCAACTGGGCCACATGTTAAAATCATCTTCTGCTTTTTCCCCCTATGCTTCCCCCTCCCCTCCCGGCCAAGAGTAAAATAAGCAAAGGAGTCAGTCCTTGACTAAGTAATCCTGTAGTCTAGTATGCTCACAGAAGTCTTTGAGATTTCTTGCTGTTTGGGACACTTCAGTGTGTTGGTGATAAATTTGAATTTGGACTTTGGGGAGGGTTGAGGTCCTGATCCAAAGGGTAATGTCTTAATCCAGTTTACCAAAGAAGCTTGCTTTGGGATATTTCTAGCAGTAACTCAGCCAAGTGTGGTACGTTGATGTGTGGTGTTTTTTTTTTTTTTTTTTTTTATAATTTTACCCCTTCTCCTTTGTCTCTCCTCCTTACCTCTGCCCCTACCCCCTCAGTCTCCCTGGGGTGTGTATAGGCCATTTGTGTATTCTTGGGTTTTTTTAGCTTGCTGCTTCCCTCTCTTTCTTGTCAGACACACACATAAAAGATTTGGGGATCAACAGGGATAATGAAAGGGGCTGAGGTTATAGTCTATTAGTGAAATTCTTCAGGTGGCCTGCAACTATCATTAAAGTAAGTGAAGATAATAGGAAATAATGTCTATGGTAGGAAGAATTGTATGACTATGTGTATATATGATCTTGTGGTATGAAATGTATTTCTTACATGGTCACTGTCATACTTTGCAAGCTGTTCTAGCCAAATTCTAATCAACAATGTATTGCAAATCTCAGACAGTGAAATAGTACAGGGGACTGGCTTGATAAATTATGGTGACCTATCCTTTGAGTATATTTGCTCAAGTTAGCATTCTTTTATCTTTCTTCAGTAGTTTCAGGATTTGCAACAAAAGTCCAGAAATTAACAGTTGTTTTAGTTCTTGTAGAGTTAGTGGAGCCTTAAGGCCACTGTGGCCATCGTGGGCAGCATACTTAACAACTTTATATCTGTTTATTTTCCTAAAATGGATCTAATTTTATATATCTTAAGGTTGCTTTGAGTAGGTAATATAGTAGTGAATGTGAAATGGTAATGCATACCAGGTGCTCATTAGTTGCTTGAGCTGCCAGTGCACAGAAGTGAAGTGAATATTGGATCTAGAGATAAAAATCTATGATCACTTAGTACCGGTTTTTGCACATTATCAAAGTTATGTTCTTGACATTTTTGAGCACTTTTGCTATGCCTCATGGCATAGTTTCAGTGGTAGTTATCAGGTGGTCTCTGCTTTTTAGGTTGCACTGCAGACTGGAGGAGACAGATTTCACTCTGTAAGAGTGAAGCTAAAAGGTACATGGAATATGAAGAACACAGAGGAAGGTTTTTAGTCTGATAGAATGTAAGTAAGGCTTCCTGGAGTATGAGGACTGAGTCTTGAAAGGTGAGTAAGAGAGGAGACATGTTTAGATGAAATGGATTACAAATAGTAAGATATTCTAAGAACATAAAATTTGAGGTGAGGAGTAATTTATGGTGAGTCTGGGAAAATAAGGAAGAAACATAATGAAGACCCTTAAATGCCATGCCAAAGAGTCTACATTTTATAAATTTAGGGGAATCATTTTGAATAATAGCATGGTCACATTTGCATTTGAGAGAGCATTACCTGAAAATTGATTTAGGGGTCAAAGAGATATGATGGAAACAGTTCTGATAAGCCAGGTGAGAAATAAGGCTTTAGCTCAATGGCATTAGCTTACTGAAAAGATAACAGTTATCTCTCTTAGTTTATGTCATATGTGATCTTCTTGTTCAGAATCCCTCTGAGACTGAATTTCATGGAACTGGGTTTATTATTTTTCAGAGATGACTTATTCATTGTCCAATTGTTTTTTATGTCTGTAAGAAATTTATACTTTTATTTATTTTTTTAAAGATTTATTTATTCATACAAGCACTGGGTACAGTTAGAAGCACGGGAGGGTGAGAGAATTCACCAGAGCCAGAGCAGGGAACAGAACAGGCAGACCGATGAAACACATTGCTGAGGGGAGCAGCAGGCGAGACAGGAGAGGTCTGCCGCGCCATGTGGGACCCTCACCGGCAGTTGGGGATCAAACCGGCGCTGCAGAGGCTGCAGGCAACCTCGCAGCTCAGCGCTCAACCGCTGTGCCACCAGGGGAGGCCCAAGAAATTTATACTTTCATGCATGCCTAATTGTGTGGTACTATATGAACATGGTTAATAAATGTTTTTCTATGATTATGAAACTTGGGAGATACTAGCTCTTTTGGTGGGCTTAGTGATTATCTTAGAGGGAAGCAATTTGGGAGCATTTTGTTACTGGATAAAAATTATGCTTTGTGACATTTAACTTAGATTTTTATAATTTAATATGAAGTTGTAATTTCTGTATGCTAATTTCATTTTCTTTTTCTTTTTTTTTTTAAGGCTTAACAAAAGATGGTGGATCGCTTGGCAAACAGTGAAGCAAATACTAGGCGCATAAATATAGTGGAAAATTGTTTTGGAGCAGCTGGTCAACCCTTGACTATACCTGGACGGGTTCTTATTGGAGAAGGAGTATTGACTAAATTGTGTAGGAAAAAGCCCAAAGCAAGGCAGTTTTTCTTATTTAATGATATTCTTGTATATGGTAATATTGTCATCCAGAAGAAAAAATACAATAAACAACATATTATTCCCTTGGAAAATGTCACTATTGATTCCATCAAAGATGAGGGAGACTTGAGGAATGGATGGCTTATTAAGACACCAACCAAATCCTTTGCAGTTTATGCTGCTACTGCCACAGAGAAGTCAGAATGGATGAATCACATCAATAAATGTGTTACTGATTTACTCTCCAAAAGTGGGAAGACACCTAGTAATGAACATGCTGCTGTCTGGGTTCCTGACTCTGAGGCAACTGTGTGCATGCGTTGTCAGAAAGCAAAATTCACACCTGTTAATCGTCGCCACCATTGCCGCAAATGTGGTTTTGTTGTCTGTGGGCCCTGCTCTGAAAAGAGGTTTCTTCTTCCCAACCAGTCCTCTAAGCCTGTGCGGATTTGTGACTTCTGCTACGACCTGCTTTCTACTGGAGACCTGGCCACATGCCAGCCTGCGCGGTCAGACTCTTACAGCCAGTCGCTGAAGTCGCCTTTAAATGATGTATCTGATGATGATGATGATGATGATAGCAGTGACTGAGGATATGTTTTCAAATATTTAATTGGGTGTAACTATTTGAGAAATCAGCTTTGGGGAGAATGTAAAATTTTGAGCTCTCAGTTTTGCTCTAGCCATGAATTTGCCTGAGAAACTTTTAACCTATGTGCCTCAGTATATTCTGTAGAAAATAGGCCCTGTTGTCACTCCCCTCTCTCCCGCCTCTCCATTTTCTCCAGTGATAGACTTGCAAATGTAGCAGATAAATTTTTGGTTTCTTTTGTTTAATTCTAGATAATATTTTGGAAGATTGGGGAAATTATATTTTGGAAGGTTAACAAGTCATGTACTTCATTGTTATATGTTCTGTTACGTGGAAAAACAAAAAGCAAACAATGATGAAAAAAGAAGTAAAATGTAGTTAGTAAAATTATTAGCATTTTCCTGACCATCCTCTCCAAAGGGTAAGACACCAGTAAAAAAAAAATACAAAATTTGGAAATACTTTGGCTTTTTTGTATACCAAGTGGTGCCTTATATTAGCACTGTTTTGTAAAATGGTCCCCTGCCTTCTCACTTTTTCACTTGTTTTAATAATACACTGGTGCTCTCTGAGGTGATGAGTGTTTATGAATGGGTGTAATTAGAAAATACTCCTCATCTGACAGCTACAAATAATTAAATTTAGAGATTCTTCATTCTATATGAATATTTTTCCATAAAATAGCTGTGATTATATTTTTACATTTTGTAGGTACCAAATTATAATTGTCAAGTATATATTTTAAATTAATAAGGTGTCATTCTTAGACATTTGATTTGAAGTTTATCAAATATAAAATTATTAGTTTCTAATTTTTGGTAAGACATTTGTAGGTATAAGTTTATCTGCTTTAATGTTATTTCTAGATTGAGAAATCTTACAAAACCCTTCAAATTAAATGAGTAATTAAAAAAACAACCCATGATGGAGCACATATCTATTTGGGCTGAAGATTTGCAGGAAATAATGTGGAAGAATGGTTAACACAAGCCAGTTTGACTAGTTAAGTTTTGCTAGAATTCATATCTCTGGAAGTATTGTCTATTTCAGTGTGATACTATCTTGAATTTACAAAGTGTTATATTTTATAAAAGTTGCGTAACGTCCCAAGCAATATTTCTATTTTTGTAAAACAACTGTATGTTTAATCTGTTCTGCATTTTGCAATTTTTGGAAATAGAGTAGCAATTGATTTTTCTAAATTGTGAACTTTATTGAGTTACTCTTGATTACTTTTGAGAAGTGGTAATTTTTCACTTTCTGCTTTTGAGGCAGCCATTAGGTTGAAAGTGTATTTATCATATAAAACTTGATGCATTTTGCACTACTCTCCATTTATATGCTGCAAATAACTACAATCTTTCAAATATGAAAAATCATTCTAAAGTTTATTTTAAATTCTAAATTCTTCTGTTTTAAAATCTTTAAATGTGGATATATCGCAAATGTCATTAGGGGTTTGATTCAATAACTTGTTGCAGATTTTTTGGTTTGGTTGAGGCAATGTATTTACTCTTAAATTGTGGAAGCATCTGAAATATGTAGGAAAGTGAAAAGAAAGGCACAATGGGTTTTTGTTTTAATTTCAAATGGACTTTTCTTCCTAAGCAATATATACGTATAATCAATCAATGTATCTGAAAAGGATCATGAAAACCAAGAATTGCGAATTGAGACTTGTGGAAACAGGAACCTAGCGAATTCAGGAACCAAGAGGATATGTTCCCAAATAACATTTGCATTGTCAGCCTCTTTGATTTTGTTTTTACAATAAAAAATATTTACAGCTTACTTTCTAGTCTGTGCATATTGTGACTTGGAGATTTCTCCCTCCTCTGTAAGGTAATGGAGATAACTATGTATACTTTGCCTATTCAACAGCCATGGCTACCTTCTGTATGCTGGACATTGTTCTAGACGGTAGGGGTAGAATAGTGAATGAAAAGTCCCTCCTTTTCTTGGAGTTTACGTGCAAATGGAATCCAAGATGTTTTTTCTTCCAGAATTTTTTGTTACTTTTAAGCCTTTATAAATCTTAGTTATATATAAGCCAGAAATGATTTTGCTCCTGATTCCTCACGCTGTTTCTCTTGAATAAAATTTACTTAGACTGTACTGGGTCTCCAATACATTACCAAATTGGTAACTATTGGCGTAAAGGTAGCAAGATGGATGCCATTGGAAAAATTAAGTTGAATACACCTTAATACAGGAATTCATGCCTTGGCCAGTAAATATTAAATCACTTCTTTATTTTTATCACCTTTATGCTAAAATTATACCAATTTGCTTTTTCCTACTGGCTCATATTGAGAGAGGGCCTGATTTTCATGAGCTTATTGCCATTTGCATATCTCCTTTGGAGAGTGTTTTATGGTCCTTTGCACACTTTTAAATTGAGCCTTTTGATTTTTATTATTGAATTGTCAGACTTATTTATATGGTCTGCATGTAAGACCTTATACACATAATTTCCAAATATTTTCTGCTCTGACTTTTCATTTGGTATTTTTTGAAGCACAAGTGTTTAATTTTGATAAAAGCCAATTCATTTTTTTTCTTTGTTGCTTGTGCTTTTGGGTGTTATAGCTAAGAAAACCATTGCCTTAACTCAACATCATGAAGATTTACTTCTGTGTTTTCTTCTGAGTCTGTTAAATGGATGGATATTGTAGAAAAGGTCTTAATATTACCTCCAGAATTAGAGTTGGAACTATATCCTAATGCATTAAGACAATTCATTAGTAAATCTCCAGTTAAGTAAAACAGCTGTGTTTGCATGAGCCTTTTCTACCAAGTCAGTAGGGTAAAACTACACTTGTGGATGTACTGCAGGCGGGCTAGGAAAACAACATTTCTTCTGTGTGCTGCTATTTGGATTTATTGTTATTAGGGGCTGCGTTTATGTGTTTTGACTTTTTAGTCCAATTACTGTGAAAGAATGACTGGACAGAGTTCTGACAAGATAAATATTATAGAAGTAATGAGGTAAAATTAGGAGGTCAGTGTGCTTCCCTGGTGGCACGGGTTAAAGTCAGCACTGTCGAGCTATCGCCAGCCACTGCGGCATGAGTTCAATCCCCGGCCAGGGAGCTAACTCACATGGCGCAGCAGACCTCTCCTGTCTTGCCTGCTGCTCCCCTCAGCAGTGTATGTCAGTCAGCCTGCCTATTCTGTTCCCCACTCTGTCTATGGTGAATCCTCTCATCCCCCACACCTCTGTTCTTTTGTGTTCTAAATGTCTTAAAAATTTTATGAGCTTAGGTTTTTGTATAGATTGTGCTTTCTTACAGGAATATCCTAATGACTTGAAAAAATGAAAATTTCAGATCTACTTAAGGTAAAATTTCTACCCCCATAAACTTTTTTTTTTTTAATAGAGGCATGTTTTATTTATTTATTTGTTTGTTTTGTTTATACATGCACTGGTACAGTCAGAAATGCGGGAGGGTGAGGGAATTCACCAGAGGGCGGGGTGGGGCGGGGGGGGGCAGAACTGGCAGAAGGACCGAAGTACACTGCTAAGGGGAGCAGCGGGCGGCAGGAGAGGTCTGCGCGCCATGTGGGACCCTCCTCTGGTGGCCGGGGAGCAGCCGGGGCAGAGGCCGTGTGGGACCCTTCTCCAGTGGCCGGGGAGCAGCCGGGGATTGAACCGGCGCTGCAGAGGCCACGGGCAGCTTCGCAACCCAGCGCTCAACCGCTGCGCCACCGGGGAGGCCCCCCCCATAAACTTTTATTGAGCATTTTAATGTGTCTGTTCCTGTTGGAGAGAATGAGTTGGAACAGCAACTCGTTTTTCCATTGATTTTCACCACCTTGATATTTTTAAAGATAACATACCAGTGATTTTGTGGAATTACCTCAGTTGGGGCTTGTCTGATGTTTGCTGATTATTAAATTTAGGTTGTGTAGCAGGATATCACAGAAATTAGCATGTTTTCTAATCACATTAGGTGGTACTCAATTTTATTTTGTCCCATTACTTAATTTGCTTCGATCACTTGATTAAAGTGATGTACCACAGATCTTTACTCTTTTTATAAGTATTTTGTAAGGGGGTAATTTTGGAGACTATGTAGATACTGTATTCCTCATTAAACTTTCATTTTATTCCTTTTAATTTTAGTATGAACTGATGGTTTTCTAGTTCAGTCGTCCTCAAGTTTGAATGTGCATGAGAATCCTATGAGGGACTTGTAGCCAGGCACAAGTTAAAATAAGACTCCTGGGCTCTGTCTCTAGAATCCCTGATTCTGTAGCTCTGGGGTTGAACCTAATTTGCATTTCTAATAAATTTCCAGGTCATGGTATTACTGCCTGCCCAGGGACCAACCATACTTTATACCTTTTAATTATTTTAGTGCTTATATTATCCCTAATTTGACCAGTGGCAAGCTCACATATACGGCTTATTGACCAATACATCCCTTCATTTTTTGAGCCCTTTACTTTTTGGCTACAGCAAGATATCCCAGACTCATCTTGAACATTCTTTGTTCCTATCTATGGAGATGATCCCCCTCAACCTAGCTGTGGGCTGCTCACATACAATGACATTTTTGTCTTCAACTCCCCTCACTGGGTCTCTCCCATACCTCAGTGTCCTCCTTACTCTACCTTAAACAGCAAGTCCTGAGCTTCCCCCGGTGTGGGTGCCTTCCTCACCTTGCTAGGGATACAATACAACGCACCAAGCTGCCCACATGGGAGGATGCCTCTCCTTACTCTGGGCTCCATCTGTCGTGCCCGGCTACTCGTCCCATATGCACACCTTGCCCAATCTGGGCTTCAGTCACTGCACTGGGTTGGGTAGCTGCTCTCTTGTGTCCCATCCCAGGCCGCTCCTCTGTACAGATCCCTGCGTTGCTCTGGGACTGAGTTGTTACAAGAAGGGAAGGGCTATGCACAGGATATAATTCCTAGAAAAAGCAATAGGTTGTGGTTGGGGAGGTGTGGAAAAAGAAGGCAAGAAAATGAGCATGGGAATCTCTAAAACAAAGGCACCTGGTGACATATACAGTAAAGCAGGTAGGTACACCTGAAATTCTGAGCTGTTCAGACTGATGAGTGTTCTGGAAAACCATGAATCAGGCCAGACCCTCAATGCTCCTAACTGCACCTTGCTAGAACTCCAGGAGACTTGAAAACAGCTGCTTTAAGCCAGTCAGTTGACATATAGCACCAAGTGCTTGGTTGCACACAAGTGGGTTGGTCTTATTTAATGATAATTGAAAAATAAAGTATAAAAGTTACTTTATGAGCTTAGTTTAAATCACAAATCAGGGGCCTCCCTGGTGGCGCAAGGGGTTAAGCACTGTGAAGCAATCCTCAGCCTCTGCAGCATGAGTTTGATCCCTGGCCGGCCAGGGAGCAACCTACGTGGTGAGGCAGACCTCCCCTGTCTCGCCCACTAGTCCCCTCAGCAGTGTATTTCAGTCATTCTGCCTGTTCTGTTCCCCACTCTGTCTCTGGTGAATCCTCTCACCCTCCCGTGCATCTGGCCCATACCCTGGTTCTTGTATAAATAAATAAATCTTAAAAAAAAAAAAAACACAAATCAAGGTGGTCTAACAGTGGTGTGACCCTATAGGGAAGGACCCCAGTTTGAGTTAAAAATGCATGGATATTAAGAGAGTTAATGAAAGGAAAGAAAAGTAATGGGCTTGAAATACACAGTTTACCAGAAATCAATTTTAAAATATTTCCATAAGAAAAACAAATGGTCACTATTATGTACAATTCTTTTTTTTTTTTTTTTAAAGATTTA